ATCTTGCGCCGGGCTCGGTGGCTCACGTCTGTAGTCCCAGCTACTTGGGAGGCTGAGGCACGAGAATCGCTTGAACCCGGGAGGCAGAGGTTGTGGTGAGCTGAGATCGCACCTTTGCACTCCAGCCTGGGTGACAAGAGCAAAACTCCATCTCAAAAAATAAACAAACAAAACAAAACAAAACAAAATAGAGAGGGGTCTTGCTATGCTGCCCAGGCTGGTCTGGAACTCCTGGGCTCCAGCGATCCTCCCCCCCCATCTGGTCACCCCCAAATCGTTAAGTGGGTGAATTGTTTGTTGTGTGTAAAGGACATCTCAGTAAAGCTGTCAACCAAAACAAGAAAAGACGGACGCGTGCACACATACTGCTGGATCTATCACACGCGAGAGCCGCCCAGGGAGCTGCCCCCGTCCTCACTGTACATGTGCTTCCCCCTCAGGATCTGTTTCCACGCAAGGCTGATGCAGCCGGGTCCTGACCGGAGCGTCCCAGCATGGTCCTGCAGGCCCTGGGTCCTCCAGGCTCCCCCATGCGTCCTGGAGGGACCCACGTGCCCAGGCACAGAGACGGGCGGGGAAGGCACGGGCCAGGGCAACAGGAGCGCTGGGAGCGGGTAGCAGGGAGGGCTCCGTGGAACATGCTGGGGGCTCTGCAGGGGTCGGCCTGGGGGCAGAGGTAGTGGGGGCCCCTTCCTGTGCCAACTGTGGGTGTTGCAACCGGTAACGGCTTCAGGGATCGCAGGTGGGGCCGCTCGGGCTGAGGGGAGACCCAGGGGAGGGAGGGTGTAGGGGGCTGAGGCCTGTGTCTCTGTTTCTCTCCCCGCCTTCTTTCTGTCTCCCTCTCTGTCTCTGTCTCTCTGTCTCGCTCTGTCTCTGTCTCCCTATATCTGTCTCTTTGTCTCTGTGTTCGTGTCTCTCTGTGTCTGTCTCTTCATCTCTGTCTCTCTTTTTTTAATTTATCTCTCTCAGTCTCTCTGGTTCTGTCCCTCTTTTTCCGTCTCTCTCTGCGTCTCTGTCTCTGTCTCTCCATCTCTCTTGTTCTCTCTTTCTTTCTCTCCTCTCCTTTCTTTTTCTTTCTTTCTTTCTTTCTTTCTTTGTTGTTTTTGAGATGCAGTCTCACTCTTGCTGCCCAGGCTGGAGTGCAATGGCATGACCTCGGCTCACTACAACCTCTGCCTCCGGGGTTCAAGCAATTCTCCTGCCTCAGGCTCCTAAGTAGCTGGGATTACAGGCATGTGCCCGGCTAATTTTTGTATTTTTAGTAGAGACAGCGTTTCACCATGTTGACCAGGCTGGTCTCGAACTCCTGGCCTCCAATGATCCGCCCGCCTCGGCCTCCAAAGTGCTGGGATGACAGGCGTGAGCCGCTGGGCCCGGCCTCCTTTCCTCTCCTCTTTATAAAAGGAAAATCTTCTCTCCCTGGGTAATGGGAAGATGCTGACTTGCCCGTGAGGCTCAGCCTCGCCCCGGTTGTGTTTTGTGTGTTTTGTGCTGACTGTTGACCTTCCCATGTCCTTGGGGACCCGACACCCGGCCGCCTTCCACACCCCCCAGGCCCATCCACCCACCTGTTCCCTGATGCCCCTCGCGGGATTTGTAAGCCAAGCCCAGACATTTCACAATCTGTACTGAGAATTCCCCAAATTTAAAAACCTTCCCAAGACACCAGTGAGTGGGGCGGGGTGGCGGGGTGGTGAGAAGAAACAGAACCGCTGGGTTTAGCCTGAGGACACCTGGGTCTGCCGGGAGGCTGCATGCGGCCGGGCCTGGACAGGGCTGCAGGGTGGGGGCTGTGAGCGGGTCGTGGACAGGGCTGTGAGGCTGGGGGGCTGCAGGCAGAGCCTGGACAGGGCTGCAGGGTTGGGGGCCTGAGGGCGGAGCCTGGACAGGGCTGCAGGGTGGGCGCCTGTGGGCGGAGCCTGGACAGGGCTGCAGGATTGGGGGGCTGAGGGCGGAGCCTGGACAGGGCTGCAGGGTTGGGGGCCTGAGGGCGGAGCCTGGACAGAGCTGCAGGGTGGGCGCCTGTGGGCGGAGCCTGGACAGGGCTGCAGGGTTTGGGGGCTGAGGGCGGAGCCTGGACAGGGCTGCAGGGTTGGGGGGCTGAGGGCGGAGCCTGGACAGGGCTGCAGGGTTGGGGGGCTGAGGGCGGAGCCTGGACAGGGCTGCAGGGTGGGGGCCTGTGGGCGGAGCCTGGACAGGGCTGCAGGGTTGGGGGTGGGTCCACGGATGGGATCCCGTTCTATGTCCCTGAAATCTGAGGCCGCCCACAGTCATGCACAGCTCCGCACTGAGGGCCCTCGAGCTGGGCTGACCCCTGCCGGGGAACCTGAGACCAGCACCCGTGGGCCCAGGACAGGGGAGCAAGAGGATCTGGGGGGAGGAGGGCGGAACCGCCCGTAGCAGGAAAAGAATCCCACACCAGCAGGGGGACCTTCATGACTAGACGTGGCCCCAAGCCGGGGACACCCGAAGCCCTTGAACCTCAATCCTGCCTTGGGCCTCAGTTTCCCCATCTGAACAATGATCAGGCAGTGGCTTCGCCTCTCAAGCTCAAGCAGGGCCCCCACCAGCTGGCCTCCTGAGCCACTGGCCCCCCTCTCTAGGCCTCAGCTTCCCCCTCTGTAAAGAGGACCTGTTGGCCGGGCGCGGTGGCTCACGCCTGTAATCCCAGCACTTTGGGAGGCCAAGGGGGGTGGATCACGAGGTCAGGAGATAGAGACCATCCTGGCTAACACGGTGAAATCCCGTCTCTACTAAAAATACAAAACATTAGCAGGCGTGGTGGTGGCGCCTGTAGCCCCAGCTCCTCAGGAGGCTGAGGCAGGAGAGTGGCGTGAACCTGGGAGGCGGAGGTTGCAGTGAGCTGAGATTGCACCACTGCGCTCCAGCCTGGGCAACAGAGACAGACTCCGTCTCAAAAAAAAAAAAAAAAAGGAGGACCTGTTATACCCACAAAAGAAAGAAAAGCAGGAGTTTCCAACACAAACCTGCACACGAGTGTCCACAGCACTGACAGTCACAGCTGCTGGAAGTGGAGAGGCTCAGACGTCCATTCATGGGGTGTCCATCAGCACAGCGTAGCCCTCCACGCACTGGAACATGACGCGGCCGTGAAAAGGAGCCAGGCTCTGACCCAGGCCACAGCACGGATCCGCCGTGAGGATGTCACGCTCTGTAAGAGACACCAGACACGAAACACCACGCAGTGTGTGATCCCATTGCTATGAACTGTCTAGGACAGGCCCATCCACAGAGACAGGAAGAGGACGCCTGGGTGCCGCGGACTGGGGAGGGGACAGGGAGTGACGGCTGAGGGGGACACGGATTCCTTTGGGGGTGATGGAATATTCTGGAACTCAACAGAGGTTGTGACCACACAACACTGTGAGTGTACCGAAGACCATTGAATTGCATGCTTCGTTTTATTTTGTTTTATTTTATTTTATTTTATTTTATTTTATTTTGTTTTATTTTATTTTATTTTATGAGACAGAGTCTCACTCTATCCCCCAGGCCAGAGCGCAGTGGCTCAATCTTGGCTCATTGCAACCTCCATCTCCTGGGTTCAAGCGATTCTCCTGCCTCAGTCTCCCGAGTAGCTGGGATTACAGGCACGTGCCACCACGTCCGACTAATTTTTTGTATTTTTATTTTTATTTTTATTTTTTTTTATTTTTTTATTTTTTTTATTTTTTTTGAGATGGAGTCTTGCTCTGTCGTGGCCCAGGCTGGAGCGCAGTGGTGTGATCTCAGCTCACTGCAAGCTCCGCCTTCCGGGTTTACGCCATTCTCCTGCCTCAGCGTCCCGAGTAGCTGGGACTACAGGCGCCCGCCACCTCGCCCGGCTAGATTTTTGTATTTTTTTTAGTAGAGATGGGGTTTCACCGTGTTAGCCAGGATGGTCTCGATCTCTTGACCTCGTGATCCGCCCGTCTAGGCCTCCCAAAGTGCTGGGTTTACAGGCTTGAGCCACTGCGCCCGGCCAATTTTTTGTATTTTTAGTACAGACAGGGTTTCACCATGTTGGCCAGGCTGGTCTCGATCTCCTGACCTCGTGATCCGGCCACCTCAGCCTCCTAAAGTGCTGGGATTACAAGTGTGAGCCACCGCGCCCGGCATTTTTAAAATTATTTTTGTAGAGATGTGGTTTCACTCTGTTGCCCAGGCTGGTCTCAAACTCCGGGGCTCCCACCTTGGCCTCCCAAAGTGCTGACATAACAGGCGTGAGCCACTGCGCCCGCCTCTCCTGCGTTTTCCACGCCCAGCCATCAGATTCATATTTTACTCTGTATCACTTATATATACAATTATATTTATTATTTCGTATTCATGTTTTACTCGGTTTGTATTGGATCCAAGAGGCAAATGTTTCCCGTTCTCTCCTGTGGGTTTTCTTTTTTTTTTTTTTTGAGACAGAGTCTCACTGTGTTGCACAGGCTGGAGTGCAATGGCGCCATCTCGGTTCCCTGCAAGCTCCGCCTCCCGGGTTCAAATGATTCTCCTGCCTCAGCCTCCTGAGTAGCTGGGACTACAGGCACCTGCCATCATGCCTGGCTAATTTTTGTATTTTTGTAGAGATGGGGTTTCACCAGGTTGGCCAGGCTGGTCTTGAACTCCTGACCTCAAGGGATCCGCCCACCTCGGCCTCCCAAAGTGCCGGGATAACAGGCGTGAGCCACCGCACCCGCCTCTCCTGCGTGTTCTGGCGTTGCCCACGAAGCTGTGTGATATGTTCTCCAGCAGGATGAGATGTGGGAAGAGGGAATACAGTCTCACAGATTCGGGTTCAAAGCTGTGTGACCTCAGGGCAGCCACCCAACCTCTCGGAACCTGGGCCTCCCGCAACACCCTGCTGTCCGGTGGAGATAACACCAGCCCCTGCTTCCAGGGGATCCCTGAACATCTGCACAGGCAGCGTGCCTGGCGTGGGTACCCCTGAGGTCAGTGAAGGTGCCGCTCACGCCTCCCCACAGCCCTCCCTGATGAACAGAAACCAGAAGCAGAGGCGAGATTGGCTTCTTTATTACAGCCAGGGCCACGCCGGCCGGAGTGGGGGCAGGGGCAGGGGCGGGGCCGTGGGAGGTGGGTTCGGAGCGCGGGAGGCGCGGAGGGCAGGGCTGGGCTCTGTGGGAGGTCACAGGCCCCCCTAGGCTGGCACTGGTCCCCCGTTGAGAACACCATCGATCCAGTCTCGGAAAACCGACACTTGGGTGAAGAAGTCGGGGCCTCGGCCACAGGGCCCTAGGGAGAAGGAGGCCACGCCGTGCCCCAGGCCGTCGCAGATGAGGGGGGTGCCCCCGTCTCCCTGGGCAGGTGGCAGCTGTGTCAGGGCGTCCCTGGGCCCGGCTCCCGCGCCACCCCAGAACTGCAGAGCCCTCTTGCCACTCCTGGAACCTACAAGTCCTGATCCAGCCCCAGGGCCTTTGCACAGCTGTTCTCTCTCTGCCCTGGTTAACTCCTAGTGGAATTTGGGACCAGCTGCTTTCTGAAGTTTCCTGGAACCTCCAGGCTGGGCCAGGTGCCCCTCCCGTGGCAGTCACACACCTGAGTCCCTCAATGACCAGCTCTACCGTGCCTGCTGGGTCCCCAACCCCCAGCACAGACGTTAACGCTTGATAGATACTGTTCCTCAGCCAGGCGCAGTGGCTCACGCCTGTAATCCCAACACTTTGGGAGGCCGAGGTGGGAGCCGAGGGGCGAGTTCATGAGCAGGCAGTTCGAACCAGCGCTGACCCAACATGGAGAAACCCCATCTTTACTAAAATACAAAAGGTAAGACTGGTGGGGTGGCACCTGTAGTCCAGCTACTCGGGGAGCTAGCAGGAGAAGGCGTGAACCCGGGTGGAGGCGGAGTTCACAGGCAGTCGAGATCCCCTACTGCCTCCAGACTGGGGTGACAGAGCGAGGGGAACCCATCTTGCAAAAAAAAAAAAAAAAAAAAAAAAGGGCCGGGCGCGGTGGTGAGCTCTAGCGCTGTAATTCCCAGCACCTGGGA